GAGGAGGAGGAGGAGGAGGAGGAGGAGGAGGAGGAGGAGGAGGAGGAGGAGGAGGAGGAGGAGGAGGAGGAGGAGGAGGAGGAGGAGGAGGAGGAGGAGGAGGAGGAGGAGGAGGAGGAGGAGGAGGAGGAGGAGGAGGAGGAGGAGGAGGAGGAGGAGGAGGAGGAGGAGGAGGAGGAGGAGGAGGAGGAGGAGGAGGAGGAGGAGGAGGAGGAGGAGGAGGAGGAGGTAGAGGAAGAAGAAGTAGAAGAAGCTTCCGTACCTGTCACCCGAACCCTTCTCGCCACCTCTTACTCGAGTCCACTGACTAAAATAGACACCTGGAGCTTTCCTTTTCCCAGGCATGGTCCAATCGCTTTGCAAGCCAAAAGTCATCGATAACTTGACTTGGTGCCCTCATTCAATGCACTTATACTCTGCGTCAGCATCGACATCGCAAGTCCTTTTTTTTCTTCTTCTATATATATATATATATATATATATATATATATATGTATATATATATATATATATTTTTTTTTTTAAATCTGAATTCCGGCGTGACCGAAAGGCAGAGGGCGGAGTTAAGGCACCGGAGGGGTGGCTGGTTGGTTGGGTGGGAGGCTGGCAGGGAGGAGGGAACTAAAGGCTCCTGTCACCGCTCTATTGTCAAGGCATTGTCAAGTCAACAATGTCACCGCGGGAGCTTGAAACTTACACCCCGTCTTCTCTCGGTCTTGGCTTTTCTCTCTCCCTCGAGTCTCGGACGCTCTGCGCCACTCTCCGGGGCATCCGCGCATCAAGCAACGTCCTCTGCAGCCGAGCCCAGCCGAGCCCAGCCGATCGGCCGATTTCACGCGTACGTACGGATTCTTGGAAGTCGGCCCTAGCCAGCGGACGTCCAGCTGGGAATGACGCGAGACCGGGAACCCCCGCGGCGCCGCTAATGCCCGCCTTTCCAGAAAGTGTGTCCCCAGCTCCTCGTCGTGCGCGCCTCGTACGCCTCGCCGCTCGCCGTTCCACGGGCTGCCGAATCCTTTGACCAATGGACAATACCGAATTCCTAAGAGCCGCAGAAGAGGCTTCTTCCGTGTAATTGAGAAATACACTTTTTGTTGTGACCCGAGTTGTCAACAGTGCGCGCGACCATTTTTACGGTGCCGAGGGAACTAGCTCCGGTCCCTTTTCCCGGTAGCGATATATTTTCCGTTCGCCCCGCATTCCCATTATTGCGGCTCCGCCGTCACATCCCCGGCCGGTTATTCGTTCGACATTACGAGATGCTTAACGGCCACGCGGGGTTTCCTCGCTACCAACGTACTTTCCCACCCTCTCTCGTCTTGAATGTATGGGCAATGCGCAGCGGAATGCGCAATGCGCGTAGCGGGACGATGCCGATGTTGCGTCCCTCGACGAATATTCCGATCCCTCCACGACTTAAGCGCGTCTCGCGTCCTCGTCACTCGGCCCCGCACGGCGAATGATTCAAGCAGGCGAATTAGCCGGGCAGACATGCCGGGGGTGTAACAGCTTGCCTCCTCCAACGGCCACTCGCCCCGACTCGCCCCGACTCGCCCCGAATCGTCCATCAACTCCCAGCTTAGCGAACTTTCGAGTCGCGCGCGGTCACTCCTCGCTAGCGCAACTCCCATTCGCCTCCTTTGCCCCTCTGTCGTACGATAAAAGCTCTTATCAACGGGAGCGTCCTTCCATCGAGGAGAAACGAGGTCGTTGCTCACATTGCATTTCCACCATCGATCGCCGTCTTCCACAATAATCGTGTGATAATGCCTATTGGTGAAATACCAGGAATCAATTTCATAAAGACGCATTAGCTCAAATTTATTCGATTTCGTCGGGCTTGATTCCTCTTCCTCGTTAGCCGAAAGCCTATACGAACAAAATTTTCGAGAAGTTCGCTCGACGTTTATTCGTCAATTTCTTTCCCTGAGTCAAGCAAATAAATATCAGCGTACGATTAGCCACGCGCGCATATATATATATATATATATATATATATATATATATAGATATATATACATACATACATATAAACATATAAACATATAAACATATAAACATATAAACATCTATGGATGAGATTAACTTCTATATGGCAGTC